ATAAAGATAAAACAACTGTGGTTGAATGAGGATAAAGATAAAACAACTGTGGTTGAATGAGGATAAAGATAAAACAACTGTGGTTGAATGAGGATAAAGATAAAACAACTATGGTTGAATGAGAATAAAGATAAAACAACTGTGGTTGAATGAGGATAAAGATAAAACTATGGTTGAATGAGGATAAAGATAAAACAACTGTGGTTGAATGAGGATAAAGATAAAACTGTGGTTGAATGAGGATAAAAATAAAACAACTATAGTTGAATGAGGATAAAAATAAAACAACTATAGTTGAATGAGGATAAAGATAAAACAACTATGGTTGAATAGTCTTTCACAAGTTCTTTAAAAAACAAAACATAAGCATATCATATACTACAATAAAATTGAGGAATATGACAATGACTGTTGACATGTTATCCTCTTGTAACATTAAACTGCCTTCACACGCATATGCATGGTGCTTGTAAAATCCTTCACAAAAAAATAACATACATTAATATAGATATATCTGGAGAAAACACAACATTTATATTATAAGTTTATTTTCTTACAGTTTTTAGTAGGCATACTATCTGGAAGACTGTATAACTCTTTGTTCATTAAAATTGTGAATACTGGTAAAAAATAAAACATTTAGCCCCAGCCTATTCTTGGCTTCACAAATGTTTAACAATGGTAAATACCTGTAACAATACTAAGATTTATTCTTTAAAGCTTTCAAGATACTCAGTAATTCAAATTAAAAATCCTTGACAATTCTGAAATTCCTATTGAGTCATTAAACTGCCATTATTACCTTTATCAATAAGCTAATTTATTAATCTAATTTGAAAGTGTATGACCAGTGTAGGATCCCTCAAAAGCAAGAGTCAGCAAGCTATGGCTTACACCTACCTCTTCAAATGACCAAATATAGCTATTCAGTCTTTAAGTTATTCACACACACACATATAAAAACAACAAAAAATACATACTAAGTAACAAAGAGAATCCTCACAACTTTATCAGTTATTGAGATAGGAACTCCTTTCTAAAAAAATGCTAACTACTATTTATTATATGCCAATTTTGTTTAAGATATTCACATATCTAAATGTCCTTATAACAACAGATAAAAACATTAGTGGTAAAATAATTTATAACAATAGTTACTGAAACATTTTTTTTAAATGAAAACTGAAACTATCAACCGTTGAGAATACAATTAACCAAGTCTTGTTTCTCTTGTGATTTTTCCTTCTTCAAGTTCTAAGTTTAAAAATTTACTATTACAGGCCTCCATCCAGATTGCAAGCTACAGGGTCAAAGCAAGAGTGGGAACACTTTAAAAACAGCAACATGCAGCTTAAATGCCACTGGAAAGAGCAGATTATAAATTTTTGTATGTCACTGTAAATGAACAAATTGACATGAGAAGTTTAAAAGACTTAAGAACAAACCACAGATCTGGGAATTTTTTTTAGTTTTTTTAGCTGTTTGTTTCATTACTAAAAATACTTCTGTCTTAGATTATACTTATGGCAGTTTTCTTTTGAAGACATCTTTTAAGCCTTATTAGGTTTAGAGAGAACAGTAGTGATGAAAAAATATTCTGGTGATTTTGACCAAGATTATTATTAGCAATATATTATTACTTAACCTGAGCTGACACCATTTTGAAAGGCCAGATATTAGGTTACCAATCAATCTGTCAGTTTAAGTGATATATATATATATTTTAAATTAATAGCCAAACTGGTGACTACTTCAATTAGCAAAATGAAGTTTCAAAGGAAATATGTTAATGAAAATCACACTGAAATTGACTGGATATATTTCTAAAATAAATCTTTCTGGTCAACAACAAAAAAATATATATATAAATTCTAAGATGAAAGGAAGTACTAATATCTTTTTCTTTTAAAAAAAAATGTGTCACGATGAATTTTTGAATATTTCACAATATAAAAAATGAAAGAAAAATTTTTTAAATTATATACTTTTTTTTATAATGAGTGTTTGATCTGCAAGTCTGTGTGTTGTATAATATGATCCAAATGCCACAAAACTTATGCTAGTCAAACTAACAGGGTGGTTGGCCTTTAGAATGGGTTGCCTTCGGATGTTGTAGAGGCAGTAAATTTAAGGGAGTTTAAGAAAAATATTGATAAATATATGAATGATAAGGGCTGGCTCTAATATTTGTTCTTTTAATTTAGTTTAGAGGATGGAATAGCCAGGATGGACCAATAGGTCCCATGTACCAAAACGTTATATTATGTTAAATATGTCAGACAGTGTGGATAAGCATTTGGACACCTTGCAAATGGCAATTTGTAATTTTTAGTTACACCTTACAAAGTAGCAATGCATTCAAGCAGTAAAATAAACTGAAAATCAAAATAAGAATATTCCATAAATTATTCTAATCAATTTAATTGTTAAAAACTTTAAGTTCACATATATTTTGTCGCTTTTAAATATTAATTTTGTTTGTTTGTTTTTATTTGTAACTTCGCCTTGACGTCCTTTTTAGACCTATTACTATTAGTATTTGTAGTATTGTCTAAATGGCCTTGGATTTGGACGAAACAGACGAAAGCACTTACAATGTTATCTATATAAATTTAAAGTATTTACCTAGATATTCTGAAAATCAACGAAATAACTTATGTAACCATAAGTATATTCATCTATTTATGATACATGTGTTACTTTTAAAACTAACACTAACAGTTTGGTATACTCTTTAAATTATATAAAATTATTTTAAAAACTAAAAGGATCAAATACCTTTGTCTTCAGCTTTTTTCGGCTAAGCCTACCCCCCCGACTCAGACTCGAGTATTTGTAAGTTTTCTATACATCGCATAAATTAATTTGCCATATAATAAACAGAAAATGTCTGAAATTTTATTTTGATTAACGTCGTCCTAATTTAATCATCAGTTAATGAAACTCAGGACCTTATTTACAAGTTTGATATAAATGTTTATAACGCAACTGACACCATAACACCAACCTTACTCATAATCATACTCAAAATACACCAACAAACAGTTTGATTGCAGCGCCATCTACTACTCATATGACAGGAGCTTGTCCAATTTTAATATAGGCTCAGAGGTCGAAAGATGTAAAAAAGGAATGATTTATATAATTTGCTGTATTATATATTTTATATATACAATGTAGTGTTTAGGATATTTTTATTAATTCGAAATAATACTGAACCATGTTTGTTGTTTTCCTTCGTAATGAATTAAACAAGTTTTCAGTCAAAGATGAATAAGTAAAAAAAACAAACTGACTATTCCCCCTGTTTCAGTTATGTAAATCTGTTTATTGGCTATAATATTATTGCGTAAACTATTCGAAAGACTTATAAGGAATTTAATAACAAAAACATCTTTGCGTTGGTATAAAACAGTGGTAGGTAGTTGTGAAAACTATTCGCAACAGCAGCGTTGCATGCATGAATTGTGAAATATACATGTAGTTTTTTATTGTATTTTTAGAGCAGTATAAAATTTAGAAAACAAAATACATATCTGCAAAGAAATATTTTTATTACAGTAAATTATGTCACTACCTGAAACAGTTTTGGTCATTATACTCCTTTTTGCTATTTGTAATATTGAAATCTATATTATTCGTAATCAATTTATGATACTAAATAATCATGCAAGATAACAGACTGTTCTCGGAAAAATCTATAATCTTTCTTCTTCCGGGATGAATTATGAATGCATGTGTATTATCCAACCATACTATACAATATTCCAGCCCTTTATCATATACTAAAGTTTTTACAAAATGTTTTCAATATTTTCATTCATATAAATGTCCGTGGTTTCAGAACGTTAATCACAGAAGTAGTTAATTTCCTTTAGCTACTTATTGTTCTGGGTCATTCACCTAGCATATCATTTGAGCTTTCTTGTGGGAAAATCTTTGTAAAATACAGCATATAATGCGAATGCAGACAATGATATTTTTCATTTGTGGTCTGGTGATACTACTATCCCTTTTTCTCTCGATAGGAATGACTTATGGTGTTGTGGAAAGTGCACATGCCTGGGAAAAGAACTTCATTATCTTTCTGTGTACATAATGCTATATTCTCTTAATCTGGGACAATCGTTAGCAGATTTTCACTGACTTCCAACAGACATTTCTGAGAGATCTTTAGTAAAGACGTCATAAATACACTCGTTTTACCTTGGAGAGGTTTTGTGGTTTGGCTGAGCATGCTATACAAGCTGACAAGAGGTTTGTTAAATTTCAAAACCATGAAGTAATAAAATATGTCATGAGGACGTAACATTCAAATGAGTAAAACTTATCTGGCTTTTCTTTGAATCTCTTGATGTTTGAATGGTAAGTACAGTTTCCAACTGACCTGATGTATTGATCACAGCAACAGTTCGTGCACGCGAATTTATCAAAATTTTTAAAATTTCCATATATCAGTGTTATGACAATTCAGATGTATAATGTAAATTCGATCCAGATAACTAGGTTTGGCTATGATATAAGCCTTCAGCTGAATCAGGAACTGCACAAGTTACATGATTCCCGTTGAACACGTCTAGTATGCTTCATTTGCGTGACGTCCTCCAGTAATTACTCAATCTATCGTGTAGGTTGTAACCCCACAAGCAGTGCTCGTTTTTCATGAATCGTATACAGCGGACAATGGCTTAAGATTCTGTTTATTAAATTTTCTGCGTTGTTTTGTATATTATTTCATATCCACAATATCTTTTATGTTTAACAATAAACCTGAAGATTTTAGTTATGTTTAAAATTAAAAAATGGGTACTTTCTGGCAGTCACGCAGAAAGTGGTTCAAATATTTGCATTACTTACTTTCTGGGAGTAACATAAACACATGTCCAACAATTTGTGTTACTTTCTGGCAGTCACACAAGCAGTGATTCAAGGTTTTGCGCTACTTAATTCTGGCAGTCACATAGATAGTGGTTCAAAATTTTGTGTTACTTTCTGGCAGTCGTGTAGACACTGTTTCAAAGTTTTGTGTTACTTTCTGGCAGTCACGTAGACAGTGGTTCAAAGTTTTGTGTTACTTTCTGGCAGTCACGTAGACAGTGGTTCAAAGTTTTGTGTTAC